AGCTGAGATTAGCTCAGCGAAGGGAGTAGATTTGTGCCTCGTTGTAGGTCCTTACGTCTGTTACCAACATATTTTGAGGTCGGCTTAGGGGTCCTTGATGCTGAAGGCAGTTTGGCTTCCCCTTGTGGTATGTGCGTCGATGTTGGAATGTAAATAGCGGGTCGGTGCCACAGCTGCACTGTATCAGTCCTTTAAGGTGCTGGTCGTCTACTCCTACGATAAGCCACAAGGAGCTCAACCTGCGGGGGCAGCATTACAAACTGCATGTTGCCAGCTCACACGGGAACCTTGAAAGGCTCAACCCGCAAGGGCGATTGTAGTCCATTGGCCACCGACTCCTACAAGAGCCACAAAGGGCTCGACCTGTAGGGGCGACCTCACGAACAGGGCTGACAAGGCTCGTCATGGCTGATTACGTTTGCCGCTAGGTCGGTGGAAGTAGGTCGTCAGTACGAAGGCAAGTCTCTAGGTTGCCAGGTCGTCAGAATTTTGATAGTCTAGTTTTGCTCTCAGCAGCTCAGCCTACAGACACCTCGTCACCTTGGCAGGACTGACCTGCGAGGGTGACTCCACAACCTGTTGGCCATCAATTCCCACGTAAAGCATGGAAGGCTCGATCTGCGGCGCGACCTCATAGTTTGTTGTCTATCAACTCCTACGGGAACCACGGATGGCTCAACCTGTGGGGTGGCCTCACATTCTATTGGCCGTCAGCTCTCGCAGAGAGCACGTGGAGCTTGACATATGGGGGTGGCCTCACAGTTAGGGAGATTCTGTCAGGGCAAGACTGCGAGAACTCGTCTGGGCTAATCATTTTGCTTCTGCCCCCCTTAGGGGGTTCTTTCGATCAAGCGCTGTTGTTGTTGCTTGAAGATGTTATTACTTAAGGCTTAGAGGATCGGGTGAGAAAATAGACTTTTGTAGCATTTTCCACAGACAGCGCCAATTGATTAAGTGCATTTTGGTAGCTCCCTACTGGCAGGTGACTCGGATGCCTGGCTGAATAATCCCTACCTGGAATGTGGCTTGGATGCCTGGCTGAATGTTTCCTACCTGG